CCGCGTTATTAGCACGGCGCTCTAACCAGCTGAGCTAAGGGACCGATACCAACTGACGGCAAAATTAATGCACGTATATGGTTAATCCGTTTCATCTTTCTATGTAGACCTTCTATTTACTTCTATACACCATGAGCTTGCTTTAGTGTCATATTTGACGAAATTGTCATTGAATAATCATGATATAAAAAATGTGTTTTATTAAAATCTAGAAACTTCCGAAAAAGATATTTTTATTGCTTGAACTCTTTGAAATTGATTTTTATAAGTAGTCTAAAATTACTCATATATGTAGTCATTTTAACGCTTTCGATTGCGAATAATTGCTTCTTAGGATTATTATTTTATGTTTGAAATTTGAAATTGTTTCATATTTGCAAAGTAGTTTAGTGCTCTCTTTGCATTTTAATACGGATTTTTTCCTAAATATGTGAGGAAAAATATCATATTAACCATTCTCATACAAGTAAATAGTGTGACGAACATAGAGAGTGTCGCCTATGCCCGTCGGCATGATGGTGTATTGTGTCATCTGCACATCTCTAGTCGTGCATTTCCTTTACTTACATTCACTTATATACGCGAGAGTGACCACGCTTGGGCGGATATAGACAAAGAGGGAACGGTCACGCAATAGAACAATGAGAGTTCCTCAGGTCACTGCACAGACATAGGATACAGCGAAGAGGATAAAGTACATAAAATGAGCCGTAACGGTAAATACCGTTACAAATAGCATCTTCAAAAGTTGTGTGCTGATTTTCAGCTACAAAATCTTCATATAAACCCTGTCAGGTTAACTCTCAAGTCAGTGATATAGGTTTTCTAACTGTTTTGCTTACATCAGGAAATTTACAAGGTCCGACATTCATCAAACTAGAACTATCACATATGATATTCCTGCCAAGCATCCTCTGCTAATATTAAACCCAATTAATGCTGAGTTTCTGAGTGAAGATGGTCGGAGTGCCATAGCTCTAGCATTTTTTTCTGACGAAACTTGATTATGCTATTCAGGGTTCATTCACCACAGTGACGAGACCGACATTGGTCTTTGGTGATCCAGTTACAAGTTTTGATTCTTACAGACGAGATGCAACAATTGAGATGATTCGAGATCTATTTTTTAATGATTCTATCTTACAAGCTATTGTTCTCAGTCATGATGCACATATTTTGAATGACTTACTCATCAGTGTAAACAAGAAACAGGAGAACGATGATATTAAAACTGTTATGACAGCGGAATTTGAAATAAAGATTGAATGATATTGAAAAAAAACGTCAATTTTAGTGTAAGCAGAGAGTTATTTCCTCTCCAAGAACATAAAGTATTGCACTTTTCATTGTGAATCTTCTCCATCTGCTTAGAGATAAACATATAATGAAGATAGCCGGCAGACGATACCGAGCATCTGAATCTGCTCTTGAGGATTATCGACGAGGAGGTATGGACGACATTGGCATGAAAGTCAACGTTCTGGTATGTATTCGTCAAATAATCGAATCAAATTTAACAGATCGTTTCTCTGAATTGATTGAACACAAACTATCAGTTATTAATAGCCGGATGGTTGGTAGTTTTATCGATGCGGTACAAAACGAAAACGTTGTCAAATCAACTGATGATGCTGTCACGACGAAAGACGATTTGATTGCAGAATTAAGATAGATTAATCATCTTCTTTCATCAGCTGCCCACTTAAAAGAAAAAAATGATGAAACTAAAGAAAACCTTATGGATCGAGCAGAGAAAACAATTGTTCGAACATTGCACAGATTAATTCAACAAACGTATGACATAATCGGTAATAAACTACCACTAGTAGTCTATAAGAAGAACAAAGGACTCTGTCCAAAACTGACCACAGTTTGCATGAGTGCCCAAACAACGACTATTTAAAAAAATCTCATTATTGGAAATAACCTTCAGATGAACTAACAAATGCAAACTGCGATTTAATCGCTACCGATGATTATAATATGGTGGCAATACATAATTGAATTGAATTTTTTTCTCGTTCGTTTATGTATGGTATAGTTGATTTTGAAAAGGTGATTACTTATATTTTAGCTGTATTTCGATTCGGTCATTGCGAGATTGAAAAAAACAATGACAAAATAGAATAATTAAAATGTTGCATCTGTAAGCGAGAGTTCACTTTTCCTATGAAAGATGTCAAATTGCAAGTGCATTTATTTTATAAAATGTCTGAAAATATGACTTTCTCAATCAGCATGACCAACTGAATAGGAAAATGTGATTTGATCAGATGAAGAGTTAATGAGATTAACAATTTTCTACTCGACATTGATATGACTATCAGGCAAGAAACGTAGGAATTAGTGAGTAATCTTGCAATTAAATCTATCTTGCTAATTTTAAACAAGACATCGACAACTGAGACAACTGAAAAATTCACAATGCGCTACGATTATTAGTCTCGTTGTAGCAACTGTAACTTTTTCTAATGTTATCTATTGTCATGAGCTAAATAGTATCGATGCTGCACAGATATGTTATGATATAACAATACGGTGCTGGCTCACAACGGATACGTCATTTACTCTTTTTGTTATTCCATTTTTGCCTCTCATGTTTACTTTTGGTTCAATGATCATTTACAACAGTCGTTAGTTAATGAGAACAATTATTCATCGTAATTAGGGGTGGTACTTTAACTTTACTTTAAAAATTAAAGTTTAAACTCTACTTTAAACTTTAAGAGTAAAAGTTAAAGTATAATACTTTGAAACTTTAGCTTCAATCAAAGTAGTGTAAAAATAAAAAATAATTCTTAGCTCTTTATGTGCAATTTTATGTGGTTTTTAGAGTAACTTTAAACTTTAATAAACAGCGTTTAAAGTTAAAGTACCACCCCTAGATATTACATAACTGCAAAGTTTGAGATCAATACGTTGTACTATGGATGAAAAACTGTAACAACACTGGCATGAACTATTTTAAAAAATTTTCTGGTCATCTTCGGGTGTGCAACATTTTACTTTATTTCGTCTATGTCTCAGACTAGAGAGATGATGAAATCTTAATTTTTTAATAAGATGCGCCGCGACAAGCTCTACAAAAATTGTAATAACAAATTCTTATTGACTTGTGTTAATGGTCTTTATCATACTCAAAATGAAAAAGCTACTTGATAGTACGACTTCTGACCATAATAAAAAAAGGTTTGAAAGACTTTTTTGTTTTCCAATAGGAATTTGTTTATACAGCTTTTGTAGAGCTTTCGACAGCGCATCTTGTCAAAAAAATCAAGGTTTTATCATTTTTTCAAGGCGACATACATGCAAAAGAAAAAGGTTTTGGAAACCTTTTTTCATTACACACAATATGGTGAGAAGTCGTACTATCATGTAGTTTTTTCATTTTGAGTATGAACACAAGTCAATAGGGATTTGTTATTACAATTATTGTAGAGCTTTTCACAGCGCATCTTATAAAAAAATTCAAGATTTTATCATCTACTTAGCCTGAGACATAGGCATTTTGGCAGATCTAGAATACAGAAAATTTTCGAAAATAGTGCATGACAGTGTTGTTCTAGGCTCTCATCTATAGTACAAGCTATAGACCTGAAACTTTTCAGTAATGTAGTACCACATATGTACAACAATCTACCAAAGCTTCAGCCAATTTGCTTTTTTAGAATGCGAGAACGGTGAATTCTTAAAATCGTTTCAGAACTTCTGGAATACCCTTTATCTCAAAAAGAATATTTTCATCAGCAATACCAAACATCCAGAAATAGAGAAATCAACGACCACTAGGATGGAACTTGAGCAGTTCAAGGCATTCTACAACGAGAAGACTAGAAATACTGTCACACGCTAGCCCATTAACCTACTTTAAAACAATAATATATATAATTCAATTATATGTCCGCTCTAAACCTTGAATTCTCAATTTATGCATGGCGGATATATCTTGTTAATATTCGATTCCTGAGAACGTTTTCGAATAAATTATTTGTCTTACTAAAATTCGTTATTGCGATAAATTTTATAGAAATAAAATGATCAAGTGTAACCAAAATAAATATTGTGATGAAAAACGTACCGATTGATGTCAACATGAATCTGTGAGAAAAATACTTCATTATCAGTCAAGTGATTACATAATTACCAGTGCATTAATACGATATCGCAGAGACTGATGAAAACTACTGATTCAAACAGTGAAAATTGATTCACGCGTACAATTTTGGACAAATAGGGATTGATTCTGAGTTCATTTGTTGATATTTTTTCTTTCTTTTGCAACTTAACGAAAATCATAGAAACTCAGCATGAAATTTGTCATCTTCTTCCGTAACTACTCAGATCACAGTAATGTTTGAAAGTAAGCTTTTGGAATGGAAGACAGGAGAAATAAATTTCAAGCTATATTCTTCTTTCTGACGTTATAGAAGCTTCAGACATATCATAGCAAATTTATCACGCCATGCAAGTCCGAAAAATAGTCTTGTTTTCAAGCAACTATGAAACTTGTTACTAAAAGTTGCTTCAGAATTGATACCCATCTGCTATGAAGAGTGGAAGAAAAATTTTGATTTACTTTGCTCAACTACTGGAAAATTACGAGAAAGATTTTATTCAAAAGTTTTTAAACTACTAACCAACACTGGCATACATATCTTAGTTCTCCCAACTAAAATTGTGCATATTATTCTCGTACAAGTAAACTATGTTAACTATTCGATGCGTCAACAATAAAACATTCATAGGTTGAAACTTTTGTTTGCAAAATGTTTTCGAGAATCTCTTAATAAATACTTTTTGAGGACAACCAATTCAGCCGTTGCTAACTTGTGTCACTATAGTTGCCTAAGGAATGAATTTCTCTCGCTCAACTTTGAAGATATTTTTCTTCCAATTAGAATTAATTCACTGCAAGCAGTTAAATGTAAAATGTTTTTTTATGGCTTTGTTCTTTTTCTTCGCATACTTTATCTTGCAAGCAGTCAACATTTCAGTATACTATGAGTTCGAGTAGCGTCAGCAGTGATCTCTTGATGGCTCCAGCTCAATTGAATATTTATTTGGGACTTCTCATTTACATAACTGGTTTTATTGGCAGTATTGGTAATCTGATCGTATATAGATCACGCTCATTACGTATCCGAGCTTGCTCTATCTATTTATTTTGGGAAGCTTTAGTCGATTTGATCTATCTAAATTCTGTGCTCCTAACACGCATATTGCAGAAAGGTTTTGGAATTTCCATCACGTCACGTAGTGATGTTTTATGTAAAATTCGTCAATTTGCCTCGAGTTACGGAAATCAGCTTGTAGTCACCTTCTTGGCATTGGCTACACTCGATAGAATTCTATTAGCACAGCGCTCGACTGGTAAGTTGANGGGAAGCTTTAGTCGATTTGATCTATCTAAATTCTGTGCTCCTAACACGCATATTGCAGAAAGGTTTTGGAATTTCCATCACGTCACGTAGTGATGTTTTATGTAAAATTCGTCAATTTGCGTCGAGTTACGGAAATCAGCTTGTAGTCACCTTCTTGGCATTGGCTACACTCGATAGAATTCTATTAGCACAGCGCTCGACTGGTAAGTTGAAACATGGTCTGTTACGTCACGATACGATCGTTATATTCTCTTCACATATACATATTTTTCCAAGGAACGACTTGAGGGTGTGCTGAAAGTTTTCTTGAAATTCGAATGACGTATTTGCTTTTTTCATCACGCTGATAGAAGAGAGAGAAATGAAGCATTAGTTTGAAATTAAACTATATGAATTTTTATGTTTTAATTGTAGCCTACCGACGATGGGCTAATCGCTTAGATTTGGCTAACAAGTTAGTAGCAGTGTTTTCGGTTGTATGGATTCTGGTTCTATGGCATCGCCTTGTCTGGTATAGTGCATCAAGCGGATCATGTGGAGGCCAATCAGGATCGTATGCATACTTCGATAACTTGTTTAGCGCTATCGTGACTTGTTTGTGTCCGATGATCCTTCTGACTGTGCTCGGTGTTCTAATCGGCCGAAGCATCCGCAATATCATTCAACAACGAATAGGACGTATGACTGCTATCAGTGAATCAGTCACTGCTAACCAATCAGTTATTCAAAAAGTCGATGCACAACTAACGATCATGATTTTGATGCAAATTGTTGTTGCAATGATCTCTTTTTTGCCATATGCAGCACAATTATTATACAGTAACATTACTAACGGCTGGTCAAAATCACCTTCACGAGCTGCTTGGGAAACAGTCATTTCAGAAGCTATCAATCTCCTATCGTATCTACTGTTCAGTTGTTCATTTTATGTTACAATGGTTTCATTCAGTGGCTTTCGTCAACAACTTTTACGTTCACTGGGCCTGAAGAAACAACATGCGGTTAATTTTTAAAATGCCGGTGAGACTGCGGCTGGGTGACTGACCAAAATCAACACCAATGCTCACAGCACAGTTCCGAATTGAAATGGAAGTTTACAATGACACTCATTATTAGTTAGTGACAAAATAAAAAAGAATATTGTTATTGTGTTAAAGTCAATTTCATAATAAACTCTCTCTTATATTTTATCTTTGAACTTCTTTTCAAATGATACTCCTGGAGCAAGAAGAAAATGTAAGAAATGGCTTTCATTATGAGAAAATTCAATTTTCATGTGAGGGTGTGGGTGTGAATTAGCAGATTTTTCTCAACATTTTTCTAGGTTACGCATATTTCTGAATCTTGATATGGTCAGAAGAATCATTTTCGGTGAATTGAGTTCATATTTATTTTAATATAAGTAAATTTTCAAATATCAAGGACATGATGCATCCTCTGAATTTGGTTATCATAAATCATGGAAGGATTCTTAATCTTCTATATTAACCTTGACACGACCACCTGTGATCCGCACGGACCCCAGTGAACTTCTTGTTTATGCTGCACTCACACTATCTCATATCAAGCCACTAGATTCTAGATATGCTCTAGTGAAGAGTGGTAGACTATGTCAGCAGCATCAGCATTTCATTGTTGTTCGTGGTTTATGAGATATACTATCCTGAAGCATACATAAACGCTTGTCGACTACCTGGGGTCCACCTGGACCCCATATCAATAGACTGATTTTTGCTTACTTTTTGATTCTAACTTTTCTCATTTTACTTTCCATGTCTCTATTTTCGTTTCTTGTAAAATATTTTAAAACGTTCGAATCAGCTGTATAGCGAATAGACCAAGTAAAAACGTTTTATTTTTCATCTTAGCATATTTTCGAAAGAGCTCCGCTTCTTTCTCGAGTATCGTATTGATTAAATAAATATTTGTGCATCGTCTTTGATAATATATTCTATGTTTCTCAATTTGCATTCCACTCTCTAACTGCTCTCTACACTGTAGTAGTGAATAAAGCGTTACTTTATTACATGCCACGTTATTCCAAAATTCATATTTTCGCAATAATAAACGGTTTTATTAGAAATCAGTCAACGTACAGACTCAAACACGTGGAGAATCCTAAAATGAAGATAAAAACCCATACCATGCTTGAAAAAATCTTACAGACGAGCTCGAATTACGGAAGGAGTTTACAGAGTAGTTTTGAAGGGGCAAATACTGATATAGAAATTAACAACGATTTTGATGATAAATCTAACACAAGTTAAGTGTAATTTGAGAACCTTCGAGCTCAATAGACACTTACATGTCGAACCAAAGGCGGATACGATGACGTATTATCGTACAGTTAGAAATTTTTTTTTAATACGCAGACAGTTTTACTGAGAATATATCTGTGTAGCGCATTTCAATGTGAATATGATTGTTGATACACCTGCTGCTAGAGACTAGGGTCACATTCTCACTTCAAGATGATCATCAGATCACGCGCTATGAGTACTGTAAAATATTTTTAAAAACTCTGAGGAAAAGAAAAATTTTACAAAATTTGTGAATAAAACAATAAAATTGGGTTACTTGTCTAGCAGCTATTTATTCAATAGAGCCTAAATCATAGCCTAAAAAGTACCAACAAAGTATAATATTGATTCCTTTCATTATGTCAATTCTGTCCCTATGGGGCCCATACGGACCCCGGGTGGTCAACAAGCGGTCGTTCTTAAGGTGGTCGTGTCAGGGCTAAATGAATATTAGTATCTATCTAATGTGTAAACATCTTTTTCATGACATGATTGACACATTGATAAAACGTTGCGGTCTTCACACTCCAATGAATATAGACATGATGAGAAAAAAAGACTATTTTTCTTCGTCACGCTGTTCGATTAATACTGACATAAAGGTAAACTCGTTTAACAGCATGATCAGGGTACGCGAACGACTCTATAACAACCAAAACGTTGCATGCAAACATAGAGTAAAAATATATTCCGTTCTCTTTTTGAAAAGCAACCAACATACATACTACTAATCATTGTTTACGCCTTTACTAAGATATTGATGAAAGAAAATTTGTTCAAATCATCAAGTCTGATTTTTATAACTACGGGGGAAAAGTAATATCATACTTAAAATCGAATTATTCTATATTTGCGAATTTTGAAAAAGTTATTATTATATGCAATTTATTCCTACCATTTTTGTGGCGTAAATGATACATCGATTGATTCCATTTTATTTATTAAAACATAATACAAGGTTTACAAGTGAGAAAAAGAAAAATAATGATAAAACTTTAGTAGACTATTGAATGAATAGATACAACTAAAGAAATAGTATCATCATATTACATACACTAGTAAGCCGTCACGCAGCACTCTTTTAGTCGATATGCGTTTATAGGATGCATATCACATGAAAAATTGCAGAAAAAGCTATAAACAATGCTATCAATAATTAAACAAAATTATATACATATGATGTTGCTGATTGTCCAATTCTCACGATGTTTCCATCGACATTTCTGCCAAAGTTAAGAATTCCACCTCCGATATCGAAATGATTCGGTGGATTTGGTTTTCTCATTTTGGTATAAGAGGGACCATCCGAGTAAGCTGTACCAAATGAAGCTTAAAGAGAAAAACAAAGAAAAAATAGAAAGGCAATTAAAAAGAACAAGACAATACGTGGAGTTGTAAACGGCTCATCCATTTCTGCGTGAAATGGTTTATTATATGCATGGCTATAGTGCATTGCTACGGGACCGTGGTTGAATGAACGATAAAGTGTCATTGCTGATCGAGAATGATTTGAAAACGGGAAATCTTAAAAAAATAGTGACTTTCTGAATATAATTATCGTTTGCATATGATTTATATACGTCGACAAAATAATTGAAATTCGTCACAGTCGAATCGCTACAGTCATGATAAAAGCAAAAAATAATGCAGCTTTGTCTCCTTCTCTGAATATTAACCAAATATATATAAGGTGTAGCGAATATTGTTAATGAGATGTGAAGCCTACTCTAAAATAACACATACACACAAACGAATCAACTTTTGCGTTCTAGCAAAGCAGTCGTTTTTTTAAATGTATAAACATATCAAGTAAAAGAAATATATTTGCCTTTCAACCTGGATTCTGTCTAACATATATTCGTGTATCTGATTTAGATTTAGATATAAAAAAGAATTATTCACTGTAAATAGGACATATTTTCTATAAATGAATTATCATCTTAAATGTATCTGATGTTGAGTCGTATAGACGAGTTAAAATATTGTATCCTTTATATAATAGAACATGACCGATCAAAAGAATTATCTATATTCTTGTCTTTCATGTTGGAAGTTCATCGTTTTCTATGGTTTTATGATAACTTCTCACAAAAGAGTGGCATAGTTTTCTCTATCATATATTTTAAATCAAATTCTGCTATATTTTTCATACTCCTTTTAAGGATAAATTCACAAGGGAAGAAAAAAAATGTGGAAATAGATATTGAATGTATTTCTTGATGTTATTATTCAAACAATGTTCACAAGCAATTGGTTTTTGAATTTAACTTATTTATGACATAAGAGAATATTCAAGATTTAAAAATTACATAGTTAAGTCACAAATACTGGTGGCTGCACAGTTCGTCACAAGAAAAATATGTCGCATGGCCAATTTGTCGCACAGATGCTTATTCTAATGTAATTAAGAGAGACTAATTAGAATGTAGGACAATTGATACAATATAGCAATTTAAATTGCAACATAAAACGGAGTCATTTAATTGGGGGAGAAATTTTATTAAGGGAAACATTTTATTGAAAAAAAACAAATTTGACACAAAAAAAATGCACAATTACAAGACAACAAATACAAAAATATTTACAATGACATATTTACAGCTAGTCCTTTCAAATACTCACCAAGATTAACATTTGCATAATCATCGACCACCCAAGTGAGCAAAAAAGAGGGTATGACGGGTGACCTGTCTAGCCTAAAACGTCAGTATATTTGTCTTGTCTAGTCCATAAAATTTGATGTGAAAGTTAGGACTGTCTGGTATGTCAGTACATTAGTCTTGTATAGTCCGCCTATAAGACAACGTCCTTCCAAAAAACTTGGACTAGTCAGCCAATTCATTTCAGAAATGTCTGTTAGGACTAGTCCACCTCTAAGACATCGTCCTTCCAATAAATTTGGACTAGTCAGCCATTTCAGAGAATTCTGTCAGGGCTAGTCTAAGGAGGAGGAGTAGCAGAATTCTCACAAACAAAATGTAAGAATTCTGTATTTACAGCAAAATTTTACTAGAACTTTGCTTGTATTGAACAGCATAGTTCTTGAATTCTGTTAGGTGAGAATTCGGCCACTGCTGGTTTGTTCACGTCTGAACTAATTTATGAAATCTGAAATAACTACTATCATATCTGGTCCATTTTATGGAGAAAATAGATTCATTGCTTATAAGAAAACAAGCAGATGTGTTGAAGTGAAACGAAATGTCAAGGTATACTATTTGTCATTTATAGTAATATTATGAATTTAATAATATATAGAATAAAAAAGATGATCTAACTAATAATAATTTACAATACTACTAATATGCTTGAATTTTAAAATTCACAACGAATCTAAATTGATAATGTAACTTTCACTGACGAAAAAAATATGCAAATAATTATTTTCTATATTAGTGCACAACTCAAGCAGTATAATCAGAGTTTAATAACTATAAATGATAGTATCATAGCGTTGAGAAGACGTTTTTTGCTGATTCATGTTATTTACCTTATCCTGTATCCGAAACATTATGTGATGCCAGTCCGAACGGTATCGCAACCAATGTTCGATCGTTTTTTAAAGAAGACATAACTTTTTATCATTCTATAACCATATCAAATGTCTTACTGAAAACTACTGCCATGGCTCTGGGAAAATTAGTCAGCGATAGTTGTATTACGTTTCAATTTGCTGACAATCAAATACTTTATGGACTTATTAGAGCTATCATTAAGTCGATAAAGAGCGTTGTTTGTTTGCTCATCGAAGAACTCGTAAAACAAAAAGCAGAAGAATCAAAATTCAATTATAAAATAATAAACGATGTACAGTATCATGTGCCAAATATACATCGACTACGACGTTCCAACATTTTTCAATTGAAACATCCGAAATGGATTTTAACAAAAAATGCTGTTATATGTTAACCTAGTAATCAGATCATTGTTTTAGAATATCCTAACTTGAAAGACGGTAGCTAAATAAACAATTCGTTTTGTAATTTAAATAGTATCTAATTCTTAAAAGTAATTTTCTTAATCTACTCTTGTGCATGACTAGCTCAATTCAGTTGAAAAATTAAATCTTTTGATATTGGTAAATATTTCTTATTACAGTCTATTTGTATACAAATTTTTATACCAACTCACGAAAAATATTGAATTATCTCTAATTACCAGAGATTAAAAGCAGCGTTAAAAACGCCTAGACCACTTAACCATTAGCTTCCACATAATCTGACTTAACTGGTTGGCGCAATAGGTATGTAACACAAAGTATGTACATTCGAGCCTAACCTTCATCTATACATTTCTATCATTTAGACTAGTCTGGATGTCAACAGCTTGTTTCAAGAAGATGGATTTAAGACGGTATGGATGACTAGTGTGAGATATACTGACTGTGAACATGATTCCAATATCGAATTTTTGGAGAATTCGGACGATCGCCAGAACTATTTTTCATGACTAGTCTTCTTTCCAAAAAGTTCTACTACAGGACTAGTCAATCTATTCTGGACTTTTCATTACTCTAAGATGCGTCTTTATTGAGAAAAAGACTAGACCTGTTGACTATTATGACATCCATCCACTGTACGGTCCCAACGGGTTCTATGGACGTTTCAGAATTTCCGACTAGTCATGTACTGGGACTTTTTGAAAAAAAGACTAGACTGGACGCTTCGTCATGAGTAAATATACGACTAGTCTTTTTTCTAGGCAAGTTGGCACGTCCAGTCAAGTATCTTTCTCAAAGAGTCCTAGTACATGGTTAGTCTGAAATTCCGTATAGCCCATAGTGCCCGTACGAACTATGAAAGTGACTGGAGTCATTCTATTTGTCATGCGTAGTCTTTTTCGAAAAAGAGTCTAGACATGCTGTACCATCCTGCCGTCCGTCAAAAATATGATTTCAAATAAAAGTAAGAGCGTCCATGACGCTTTACATGACGAGTTGTGGTCTTATATAATGACGACATTCTGACTAGTTTAAATTGAAATATTTTATGACTACAACTAGATTCGAACACACATACCAATTATTATTTACCCATCGTTCAGACCATTGAGCCATTTGGTCGAGAGATCAATTTATCAGTATTTCTAGTCATTCTAAGATGCTTTAAAATACGAATTTTTTCTTAGGTTTTATTCAATTTTTCATATGAATAAAAAATATTTTTTTTATAGATTCAAAAATTATTCAGACGACATTGAATAAAATTAATTGAAAACTCCGGGTATTTTATCTTATGTTTTTGTCTTGTTTTAGTAATTAATTTAGCAATTCAGCAGGGCATTTTATTCAAGAAATTTTCTTTCTTCTAATATTTAGATAATTCAGAATTCAGAATTAGGACTGACGGTGTACTTAAAAAATGGATTAATCATTACGAACATACAACAGTTTAGGCTAGTCTATGACAGTCCTTATAACTACCATTACAGACATTTTCGGATAGTGAGAATCAGTTTCCATCAAGTGATTTCTGCATGCATGGTATATGGAAGACACCCATTTGCATTTTAGAATATATATATATAGACATAAGTCTTTCTATACTATGAACTGCCGTCACGACACCCGTCTGCTTTTTTAATAGTATTAATTGTGTCTCTAATGTTCGAATCCAACTTTCTTCTCTGTGTCTTAGAATATTTTCCCCTGCTATGGACTAGTCCAGGTGGGGGTAAATGAATAAACAGACCAGTCTAGACTGGTAAAATGACATACGGGCTAGTCACAACGACGCTCTGGAATAACTTGGACCAGTCCAGATGGGTAAAAAAACACATGGGTTAGTCGCAATAGATATGGAAGACGTATTAGACTAGACTTGATGGGTATTGCAGACTTTTTGGACTAGTTATGTCGTCCGTCCTCTCTATTTTTTTCGCTTACTTGGGTAATTTTGTTTTAGAATCAAATGTTCTTCAAGATATCGATAATCGAGTAAACCAATTAAATGAAAAATTAATCTCGAATTCATCTAAACTCGATCAACTAATGCAAAATTCATACGTGAAAATAGATCGTCTTACTTCCAATATCAATATCGTAAGTCATTTAAAATAAAACGCATTTTTGCTATTATTTCGTTGAATTGAAAATAATTTACGAGATGTTAATCGTATTTTAACTATTTAATACCTTTGAAATAAGAAAAAGAATGCCAGTAAAAAATTAAGGTGTTTAAATGAGTAAGAACAAATTTAGATTTGAACGACTTTAGACTTAAATATTCAAAACCGTATTAGCACAGCTTTTCGATATGTTATCTGTTTCCATTTGTCTTCAAAGTCACTTTTTTTTGTTTTAGCATAAACATGCTCTTGAACCATATGCAGATAAAACTGGTGAAATGTTTCCAGATGTACTGGTAAATTTTCCTATACTTATAAATCAAGAGATTTCGCTACTACATTGCATAGACCGAGACTGACTAACATAATAAATTATTAAATTTGTTCGGCTCAGTCAGATCAAATTGATCCAATCAATCTAGATAGAAACTTTTATGAATTTAAAAAAACAATATTTAACATCTTTTGATAATCGGTAGAATGAAATCGACTGAAGATTATTCGACGGTTCCATCGGATGAAATAGAATGCAATTATTTTTCAAAATAGATCGAAATCGAATGAAATACAGATTTTTAAGAATTTTTTGAAGAAAACCCAAACGAAAACATTTACATAGTAGATTTAAATAGAATGAAATGAGATTCCTTTTGAAAAGTTCATCGAATCGAATTCGATAATATCCTTTTGATAATTTTCTCACATCAAATTCAATGATGTTTTTTTTCCAAGCAACCGAATTATGATTTTTCAAGAGTAGAGTAGATAAAATGAAGTCGAATTAAGATTAGTCGATGATTTTATCAAATCAAATTGCATGGTATAGCTTTTGAAGAGTAGATCAAATCAAATTAAATAGAGATTTTTAGAATTTGTTTGAAATGAATCAAATAGAAATTTTTAGACATTTGATCGTAATAAAATACAATCAAAATTTTCTTTTTGGGAAGCGCTGCAATCAGAGAGAACTAAGATTTTAAATCATTTATTCGCAAAGAAATTAATTAAATATTTTCTAAGAATAATCGAAGCGAATAGCACAAACTTTTCAAAGAGTCTGTCCGAAAAAATCAAGTGAAAATATTTACATAGTAAATTGGAATCGAATGAAGTGAGATTCCTTTTGAACAGTTCATTGAAGTCGATATAAACTTTTGATAAGTTTATAACATAAAATGCAATGGGAATATTTTTAGAGTTAGTCGAATTCGGATTTTCTAAGAATATATAGAATGAAGTCGAATAAAGACTAGTTAATGATTTTATTGAATCAAATTGAATGAAATTGTTTTGGAAAAGTAGATCGAATCCAATCGCATAAAAATATTTAACAATTTGTTGGAGACAAACCGAACAAAAGTTATTATATACTAGATCGAAATCGCATGGAATGAATTTTTTAGAAGGAAATTGAATTGAATAGAATAAAAGTTTGTTGGAAATTGCTTTGAATGAAGTTTGATGAAGATTTTTTAGCAACCAGATTGATTGAAATAGAATAAGGGGTTTCAAGTGTGAGCGAATAGAATCATATCTAATGGAATCATACATTTTTCATTCGTTACAGTGTGTATGCTACATTCTCTTCTTTCAAGCCGCTATGGCTGAATGGTTAAGATGTTCGGCACATATCCACAAGATAGTGTGTTCAAACCTCGGCGCCATCATCCATAGAATAACCTTGGACAAGTTACTAACGGCTGCTTTGTCTCGGATCACCCATCCGATAGCACGCTGATTACATGTGACATACATAAAAATATCCTCATGGATAGTATGTGGTTATTCAGTATGCATGGGAAGCTTAAGTAATTAAGCGGAAGGAACTCTGAGTCAGGCCGGCCTTCTGTCCAGAGCTGCAGCTAGTAATAGTTGTAGGAAAAATATCGGGCTCTTGAAATTGTCTCCGGACAACACCCTATACTGAAAGGTAGCCGCAAGGCAAGGGTTTTCTTTCTTTCTTTCTTCTTTCTTTCTCTTCTTTCTATTGAGATGTTCAACAATTACAATTTACTTGATTTGATGGTTACCGATTACGGAAATTATGCCCGTAAAATTTTGCGAATAGTTTTTTCTCGAGATGAACTCAAGAGTTCGATACTGCCACCTGGTAAACCTCATTTTAGACGTCAGCCACTTGATCAAGATCGCTTCAAAATTTGTATGAGTATGTAAATTTTTTTCAAGTTTTTTCGGACTTGAAGTTTTCGTTCTTTAATAGATGCAATTCCGTATAAATTTAAACTGGATGTAGTAAATTTTGGTTTATTTTATCCAGCACTTTTAAGAAGAAAATTAACCGATTTCTTAATCGAAGAACGTCGACGTGAATCAACTAAAGAAGCTCGACAATCAATACAACGAAATGATACACAGCAAAGAAGTCAAGCAGACTTTTGACGAATTACTCGACTGGACTTTTTTCTATTTTTGTTTTGGATTGTCATGAAAAATTTCATTTTTGTATATATGATATTATAGTTGAAAAATAAATATGAGAATTGGTACAATCATGTGAAACACATAGTATGATATGTTTTATTAAAGAAGGTGCTGATAATAGAGTAAAATAAATAGACGATCAGCTGTATGATCGTAAAGAAACACCAATATGGTGATTTAGAACATTGTCCATCCAAACATGCGATAGTATACTACAACCGTACGTCGTCATAATTCATCGTATACGACACGATGACACAGTCGTAATTCTGACGGCAAGTAATACGACGAAACACGATCGGATACGATCGTACGCTTCACCGTATGCGATCATAAACGGTCGTTTACACCGCCGTATACGATAGTTTACGATGACCGTAATGCTCGTCCTGGGTAGCTATAGAATTCATTAAGTAGCTGGGATATTCATTCAGTAGCCATACGATTCATTAAGTAGCTATGATATTCATTGAGTAGCTATACGAATGTACTAAGCATAGTTATGCTTAAGAAAATGCAACAGACTATATTAAAAAAAGTATCTCTTTTGAGAATGAGCCCCAGAACCATTGAGCCATACGACTGAGATGCCATATTCTATACACTCATGATCATTCTAAGATCCTATTTAATACAATTTTTACTCGAAATGTTTTTGATTTTATGTATCAATAAAAGTTATCTTTTACCTAGACGCGATTACTTTACATAGCATTAAATAAAAATAAATTAAGAAGATTTTATAGTTTTTTCGACAAATATATTTTGATCTATAAGCAAGCGCGATTAACTAGTTCGGTTTTGAAAACATTGATTTGAGTATAAAATTTAAAAAATATTTAAATGGAATAGAAACTAATTTTTTTCATATTAGTTTTTAATTTAGTTTTAAATTTAAATCACTGTATATTCGTCTAAGAATTAAATTATCTTTGCTTTATTTTAAACTATTCGAATTGATATTTAAAATAAAGTAACATAATATTATTATATGAAAAGATTTAGATGCTTCTCAATTCTTTTAAATTTCGTACATCTCATATTTAAAAAAAATATAACTTACCACTCCTTGATGTGAGATAAATATTTTTCTCATTAATAACTCCTTCTATTTTATGTTTCGATACAACACTCTTAAATGTTTAACATATGCTTATACAAAATAAAATAAAATATATCACGATAGGGATATCCGGAATAACTTGCATATTTTTGACCGCACTATTGATTACATCAGACTTTTTGCTGATCCCTCTACTTAGGAAAACTTCGACAAGCATTGAGTGAAATAAACACTTCTTAAAAAAGACTAGCCATGAGGTGCCCAGCCGATGCTTTAAACTAGTCCTAACAACTGTTGCAAAAATTTCATACTAAGCAATACCGTTTGAGTCGACTTATTTCTGATTTTCTTTCCATGGATGGGAGTCAATGTATAAGTTTAGACTATATATACTTACGGCAATCTATCTCAGTGTCCTAGTGTGCCGTCACGATGTCCGTCATATTTTTAACACTGTCGGATTGGATGTTCAAATCCACCGTGAAACCTCTTTTTTTAATATTCTTACTAGCCTGGGCTGGGTCAACAAACAACACGGACAAGACGTGACTGGCTCAATGACATTCCAGACTAGTACAGGCGTGTTTGTAAGACACTCTCCATTAAGTTGACTAGACAAGACGGGTATGGAAGACGTTTCAGATTACACTTGACAGAAGCTGCGGACATTTTCGACTAGTCATGTCAGCAGCCTTCCTTCATTTTTTGCTTACTTGGGTAGCTTCCGGAAAAGAAGACTGGAGAAATAAATTTCAAGGTATTTTCTTCTTTCTGATGCTTTAGGAGCCTCAGACATATCATAGCAAATTTATCACGCCATTCAAGTCCGAAAAATAGTCTTGTTTTCAAGCAACTATGAAACTTGTTACTAAAAGTTGCTTCAGAATTGATACCCATCTGCTATGAAGAGTGGAAGAAAAATTTTGATTTACTTTGCTCAAC